TATCACAAAGTTAAGTTATTGGCTGTTGTCCAACTGTGGAGCTGTCTTTGTTATAAAGCCTCAGAAGGCACTGATTCAATTTGTTTTCCTAGGGGTGATGCTTGTTAAACGTCTTTGTGAATTTTTGTGTTATTGATATTGTGTCACCTGCACTTCTACGTACCAAACGCAGTGGAGAATTTAGAAGATGATGGTCCGCCTGAGCTCTTCACTTTAAGTTAGCAAATTTTTGAAAGTGTTTAACGTGTTTTTAGAGTACTGCTTCTTGAATTTTTGGATGCCAAAATATTGTGACGCTGGCAGTTCAGCATTTACAATATTTTCATTTTGGTGCTTGTTAATCAGTTTGAGAAGGATAGATGTCTACCCAACTTTTTCCATTTTTTGATACAAGTATTAGCGAATTTGGAGCAGAGTGTAGATGGCGGCTCGCTTTGTTTATCCGTGTAGCTGGTTTTTTTCTCGTTTATAAACTAACGATATCGAAGTTTTAAAGGTTCTGAGAGATGCTTATGTTCAAAACATATAAAGTTATAGAACCGTAAGCGATTGAAGGGATTTGTGAACTAAAATTCCTTTGATAACAGTTCTTGTCTGCTTTGAATGTAATCAGTTAAATTGATTTGCAGTGGTATTAAATTAAGAATATTTAGGGGAAATATTGCGGATTAAAAATATTTCTAATACTTCCAGTAAATGGCAATGTGATCTAAGTTGCTGAATATTCAGGTTAGAAGTTGTTTGGGAATTCTCTTTCTTTAATCTTTCTTACACCGGTAGCAACTCGTAGTTTGCCTTGGCTGAGAAATGATTATTCGTTTTTTTATCGAGAGTTGTCAGATTTTATCTTGCTTCTGATAGCTTATTCGCTGAAAATTTTACTTCTAATACTAAAGTTGTTGGTTAGCCGGTTTTTTTAAACTGCAACTACATTGTTGTTTTTTTCCCCAATATTTACTAGGTTTCTTAGTGCTACTGTGAGAAATTGCGGGATTTTCAAAAAATGAGTTTCTTTTGGAGAGGTTACAGTTACTTGATATCGAATCTTTTTCTTTTACATATATGTAATAATTACGCTACTTTCATTAATGTTACAAGCTTTTGCTTGTAGTGGGATCGGATGGTCACTCTTCTTTGTCGTTCTTCATAATTTTGGCTGTTGCGGAACTATTATTTTTGAGTTGCAGAGTTTGTTCTAAGTTCTAGTTCTTTAGTGAGTATTTTTTAAAGATATTAAAATGTTGTCGTTGGTTTCGTCATAACAGCTTCTTAGTATGTGACTTCAGTAATCATTTTCAGGTATTATTGTCTTGACGAACTTTGGTGTATTATAATTAATGAAAGTTCATCTAAATTATTGAATGGAGCGTCACCGTAAGGCTTTTTTAGTGGTGCCGTATGGCTGCTGGCTTAGTATAGGACTGATACTTTTTTCAGCGTTTGCTTCGCTAGTTACCAGCAGTGAGTTTGCTTGTTTGTTCTTCCTGTTTCAAAGCTTGTTTTCAGCTCTTGTGAGTAAGTTTTAAGTGCTGTAATTTGCCCGATTGGAATGCTTGACAGGAATTGTTGAAGGTTCCGATCAAAAACGATTTTATAGATTTATTTCAGGATTCTTATATTACTTTTTCTGAACACATTGTATAACTTGAAGTATTTTCCGCAGTTTCTACTAAAAGTTTGCATGACAGACGTAATGCTTATTACAAAGTAACTCTTATATAGCGTTTTGATTTCGAGAGTTTAATTTCTTCTTATTGTCACCTCTAAGAATATTTCAAGCTTTACTTTTCTGGGAAGCTTCAGTCCCACGTGAATTAAATGAGAACCAGTCAATTGTTTTAGGGAGAGGTGTGTTTCAGATAAAACAACTGGCATTCAAACGAAGGTAACTTCAAAGACACCAATTCTGACAGTGGCTGGTAAGAACCACGTTAGCGTAAATGGAATTTCGTCTAGTAAATTTACGACTGTGGAGTCGACTAGGGATCAAGGCCTGGGAAAGGCGGAGAAAAAAAAAGAATCAAAGGATCAAGTGCGCGCCAGCTCCGGTTTGGGAAAGAAAACTACACCTTCTTTGTCCACCTCATCCGCCGTTGGAAAAAAGTCAGAAGATCCAAACCGGAGTCTTGTTGTTACGTCTAAAGAAGATGAGAATGACATAAATGAAGGAAACGAGGAAAATACTAATAGTTTTCGAGAGTCAGGGAAAAATGGAGTAGGAGTGGTAAGAAATCAGGTGAAAGCACTTTAAAAGATTTTAAAGAAGTATTTAGCAAAGTGGTTACGGTAGAGCCACATTAATTCTCTCTCCAACCGTTGAATATTACAGCTTTTACTGCATTATGTTAAAAAACAGCGAGTTTGTTTTGTAACAGATTCTCATGTTCGACCTGATTTGGCCATACAGTGGTTCTGAGAACTCTAATATTAAAATATCTTCATCGACAGTTTCAGGGGCAGAACAGTTATCCTGCCGTTGAAGACTTCCACTTTTTTTACTATTCGTTGTTTGTCATAATTTTTGGAGGTATCTTGTATGTTGTTGTGCACAACAAGAAAAAGATTTTAGGTAGGGTTTCTTACAGTTGCTTTACTTATTCTTTTTTAATTAAGAAAGCAAAAGCAGTAGATTGGCTGTTTTTTAGGAGGAGATAGCTATCTTCATTAGAGTCTTCATTTAGGTCTTCTGATAGAAGGACGAAAGCCTGCTAACTCGAGAAGGTCAGAAGTACGGTACCGCCGACTAAGCCAGCGAGATGACAACGACTCATTATCTTATAGAGACAGTGAAAACGTCATCTACTAAAACGGTGTGTTTTTAATAATAATCGTCACCACTAGTATGGCAAATAAAATTCACCACTTCTATCACTTTAAATATGGGGAAGGTGATGTTTCTTTGCCTTTGGTTCTTTCTTAAATAATCTGAGAATTGAATTACTAGCCTGAGTGATGGCGGCTTATTTTTGTCAATAAATGAATTCGGGTTGAGCTTTGTGATAAACTCTAGTCTTACTGTGCTCAAATTTAATATTATTGGATTTTTCAAGCTTTGATCAGTGTCCTTTTATTCATTGTCTGAATTTCTTGCACTGTAACTTCAAGATCTCCAAAGTTTACATTTTCATCTCCCTCTACACTTATGTGCATTCAGCTTTATGTTTTTCACCCTTTTATTGCGCGAAGTGTTCAAGAAATGTAGTATGCAACTGTCACTTGGTCAATTTCATAACTGTGGTTGTTGTAGAGTATATTTTTCCATTTACTAACTGGATTTTTACTCTTGTGTTGGTACAAGTCAGAGTATACAATATAATTGCAATAATAATAACGGTGAGAGAAACTGAAGCAATGGAACATCAAATTCATTAAGGAAGCTGCATGCTCCGGGCTGGCCTTGTAATTTTCATGTGGCCTCAACAACAGTAATTAGTTTGAAGTGCTGTAGTTTTGCAAAGAATAACGTCTTGAGAACTTTGTTATGGATTTCAATAAAAACCTTAGTGTTTATTTGAATAATCTACTTCATTTTGTAAATGGAAAAATTAGTTTGTTGTGCCACATTGTAGAAAAAAATTCTTGTCACAACTTCATAACTGTCCGGTGTTTTTGTGGTCCTTAGCGTCATTTCCACAAATCGTCATGCATGTCCTTTTAAAAAGTGCAAGTTGACCTGAGAGTGTCGCGTTCATGAAGTGTTCATGTAATTTTAGGAGTCCTCATAAGCCGATTTCACTTTCAAAGCAGATTCTCCTATTTTTACTGAATCTTCATTTTGTAAATTTCAAGACCTGTGGAAGTATGAATTTTAAACAGGGAGTTTGCGAAAAAACGGGCAATCTGGCCGTCATCTAATTGCCTAATTGGCTGCGAACAGCCACACGTTTTACAACCATCCGGAAACAACCCTAGCTTCTAAAGATCTGTCATGTTAAAGGCGTAAGCAACACGCAGTTCCGCAATTGCTTAATAAAGTTTTTATAATACTCATTCTCATGACTCGACTTAGCGTGTACTTATGTTGGCTGCAGAGAAATGGCGAGCTTACGAACCCAATCAGGTTGTTCCCTGTAAACTTTCACGAAGCCGACACAGCGAGACTGTACGCAGTTCAAAGGAACTGTTTTACTGAAACCTTATACTTTGAGAGCAGTGATGAAACAAATTACAACGTGAAGAATACACAAAAAAAAAGGAAGAGAAATCCGTTCATTAGATGTCACTGGAACCCTCCCCTCAATTTGCGAACTAGTAAGAAGCGACTTGCTAAGGAATAACACGCGCATCTCTTACAATGGCGTTGTATCGGTAGAGGACAAGGAACTGTCTATGTGAACCCTTTCACCTTAAACCTGCTAAGAAAATGAACAATCAGCAATTTTTACAAAACCTTTCCAATCTAAATCCCTCTATAAAAAAAATCACATTTTTCTTTTCACAAAAAGCCATTCATTTGCACTTCTTTGCAAGTCCTGTCCAGTAAAGACACCACTAAAATTCGAATAAGCCAAAAAATCTAGTTTCCCCAACAGATTCACAGGGCAAGCGTATTAAAACTGTCGCCAAAAAGCTTCATAAATACAAAAGCCATGAAAGTACATTAAACATGCCTAATCTTTCTTCCTCAACGGTATACACTAATAACTAAAACAGGACATCTGGCCGTGACTCCGTTTTGTCGTGGTACTACGTACTATAAGTAAGAAGCTATAACGTACCCTACTAAATCTTTACCAACTGTATCAGAATAAGAAAAGTACAACTGAAAAATAGAAAACTTTCTTAAACCCGCGGATTTCAAAAACAGTTCTTCTACACTAGGAAAGATGTGGGGTAAAGCTGAATGAATTACCTGGAATAAGTCCAAAACTTCCAAACCCTGGTATTCTGAAGACCAAAAACCACCTGCACAAAAGCTAAAATATTAATACGTAAGTTCTCGAGCTCTGTATTACAAAAAACAAGTTCTGACAATGAGTCAAAAAATCCAGACGCGCAGCGCACCCGGAATAGACGTGCTGAGGACAATGACTAAACTCCATCGTAATTACGCAAAACAACAAAATAATCAAAACTCAAAAATCTCGAAGATACAACGTTTGAGAAGATCCTCTGATCTCCAAAAAACCAAACAAGATGAACGAGTGAAAACCTAGATTTCTAAAAATAGGAAAATATATGAATTTACAAATAATATAAAAAGTTCTGTAAAATCAAGATCCGTAGGTAAGAGATTCTAAACAATGGGAAACCATCAAAAAATCCACAACTTTTTTCTACAGGAACACATCTACTGCAAATTTCAATTATTCTTGTTGGCGACGTCATATTTATGTAGGGGTACGATGGTAAAGTGTATTACTACCAGCTATAAGTAAAGAAGCATTGTTGCTGAAAGGAAGCGGCATAGGCTCAATATTCCTCTCCGCCGCTGTCCTATAACGACGTCGATAAGGTGCAGGAACGCCAAATATTTTTTCTGGGTCATCTGCTGGTTGAATTGATCTTGCTTGGGCGCGAAATTGGCGAAACAGTTCACGCTGCCTCTTCTCAGATGCCTTAAAAAAATTCAGTAAATAAATTTCTTAATGACGTAAAGCAACCAAACACCTTACATCTCTCGGAGGATCCACTTCCTCTTCAGAGCTCACAGAAATGACAATGTCTTGTTTTCCTGAATTGTTACATAGCCAAGACCGTTCAGGAATAGTTACCGGCAAAGATCGGCCGTAATCCATTACCAGCTTTCTAACTTCCGTAGTCACCTTATCTTCGGGCACCTCAACTATAATAAAAAATGCCGAACATTGCGGAAGAGAAATAGGTCTTACAAAGAAAAAAATAAATATTAATCAAGGTAAACCAACAACGTTGTCGTATCTACTATTGAGCAGCAAGGCTGCTTCTCGCTTCTGTCTCGACCTTTTGACGGTAGCCGTCTTCGCCCTCCCAAATAGTACCAAGAAAGATTCAAAAACTCAAAGCCTTAACCTCTGCCTCTTTATTAAAACTACCTCTGAAGGATGGCAAGGAGAAGAAAAGATACAATCCTTTAAAAGTTCCACTAGAAAAAACCTATTTACTTAATAACGGACTAGTGAAAATAAGTGACTTTTCCTAATCATTGACGATTGCTATACGTCAATTTTTGCGCTCTATCCACTTTTTCTAGCTGTTAATTCCAGACGTTTTATGTCATTCGTGTCTTCCAGTTTCCCAAAGTCTGAATGTTTGTTTTGTTGTCCTAGTTAACCCACGCTCAAAAAACGCCTACAAAATGATCAGGTATTTCCAAAACGATTGTTTACAGCCAGTGACTGTATGGCCCAAAACAGCCTCTTGACGCTAATTCAGCTGAAAACACGTGGTAGATACCTGGCGGTAATTCTTAGACGACAGCAGCATTGTATCCCACGCACTAAAATGAAAAGAATCCATGAACCAGACAAAAGTTATTTAGAACTATAATATTTTGATTTGACTTCTGCTAAAACGAAACACTTAATCATCGAAACATCGCACGGAGAATTATAGTCCGGTAACAAAACTGTAAAAAATTTTAAAACTCCAATACCCTCATTACTAAACTTAAACTTCCTTGCCAGATTTTATGTACAGACCAAGTTAATAAGTGGGGGCAAACCAAAGAAAAATCATTTAAAGTTATAGCAAAGGTTTTCAAAAACAGATACAATTTGAGAGAGGAACCCTTAAAAAAATGTAATTGAAATTAAAAAAGTTTGAAATTCGGAAGCTGAGCTCTTCCACATATTCAAAAATACATTACGTCTAGACCTTCATAGTTTACAATAAAGCAATAAAAAACTAAACCTTAAAAAGCGAGCTATCTTTTCAAATTAAAAGCATTTCAGAATACTTTTTCCCCAAAAGATGTGTTGCGTAAAATATTCAACAAACTTAAAAAAAAAAAAGAGATGAAAAAGACACCACGAGCAAAGTTATTGAGTTTTAAACTTCCTGAAACTATTCAGCGCCATAAAACCAAATCAGTTCAAATATGGGCACAACAGCTACTGATCTCAACTGAACTCGGGACCTAAGAAAAAAATGACTTCCAATGACAAATAAAGAAAATAAATTTCTAACGTAACAAATCTCATCTATGACAAGAACAGCACACTCATAGAGCTAAAATTCCCAGCAGAGATTGACAACTCGTGACGAAAGAAAGAACACTTGAAAATGACTCAAAAAAATTATATTCCACAGCCTGTCTTCCTCCCCTCCTCCCTTCCAGAAGTTACAGTCCTTTGTCCAAACCAAGCTCCGGCAAATTCAGTTGGTAAACTACCTTAGAGAGATAGTTCCGACCCATTAAAATAGTACTGAAAACCTGGAGTAACCGCCAATATCTGACTAGGGAATCTTCACTTAATGACCAGCAACCACCACAATTTTAGCAACTACCTTCTCAAAAATGAGTCCCGTTCCAAAAGGGAATGACAGAGCAATTTTCTGATCCAGCTTCTTACTTTTATAACCAGAAGTATCCATTTTGCAGAATACTGCAAAAGCATAAGAAAATATATAACAAAAATTCTAAATGTTTAACACCAAATGCGAAAAGACGAAGAAAACATGAAAAAACATCAGAAGCTGAAAATATATAAAATTAAACACCACCCAACAATTTTTTTAATAAAAGAAAAATATTAACAAAGGCATACAATCCTCAGCATCCTCTTCGCTTTGACCAAAAACCACACTCTTATCTTGTGGAGGGGTACTCGCTTTGCGTGCTTTATCCTGCTCTTCATCCATAGGAAACAACCCATCAGGAACTAAAGACAACAAACTCATTCAGACTGAACCAACGAGAAGATAAACGATCATTTGCCAAATCATTTAGATGCAACACATTAAAAAAGAACTGTGGTAAGTAGTACAAAAACAATTCAACAAATTAATTTACCGCTACTGTGCTCCACTGGATAACTAAACTCAATTTTCCTTGGTACATTTTGTACTATTTTATTCGGGTCGTACTGCTCATTCATATGATCACCGGGTTCAACATCGTCCACTTGAAAAATATCCTAAACAGAACTGATAAAGTCATTTTTAATGCAAAATGTTCTTATTTAATACTAGAACTCGCTGAAAAGCATAAACCAAAAACCAAGCTAGTGAGGCGCTTCAAAGAACAAAAAAATCCGCCAGGTAAACTTACATCGCACCCGTTGTAGACCACATCTGTCCCCATCATATTTGAAGGATCGCGAGGATACAAAAAGTCCGGGCAAGCCCACAAAAAGAAAAAAAAAAAAAAAAAAAAAAAAAAAAAAAA